TTAATTTTCATCCAATAAAATCTAAAAACAGTTGATGCCTGATAATTATTTTTAGATAATATATCATAGACAGTTGTAGATTCTCCAAAATTATTACTTAACCTTTTGATAAACACATAATGAAAATCACAAAATAAAAGGACTAAAAACATTGATTTAAAATTTTAAAGAAATAAACTAAAAATATATCTAAACTTATAAACATACAAGTAAAGTGCATAATATTTTTATTTTTTTTATCGATAAGAATTATAATAATAATGATAATAGTAGAGTTCAAACTTAAGTTTTTGTACATCCAGGAAAGATATGACATATTTTAATACAAGGATGAGAATTATGTACTATTTGTATCTTTGAGGAGTATTAGTGATGTTTTAATAATATTTTTTTAACAAAAACTAAGAAACTTAATAAAAAATTTAAAGAAATAAAATATCACATATTTGAATGTGATTATGAGATATTTTAATACAAGGATGAGAATTATTTACTATTTGTATCTTTGAGGAGTATTAGTGATGTTTTAATAATATTTTTTAAAAAAAACTAAAAAACTTATTAAAAAATTTAAAGAGATAAAATATCACATATTTGAATGTGATTTTTTTTTATTGTAACAGAGAACAACGTAATATTTTTTATATGATTTTTTTAGGAGAAAAATGTGATTTACTCAATTACTCCTACATTTATATGAAAAATCATATATTTAATAAACATGCATTACATTTATTAAATTATAAAATATAATATTTTGGTATGTACAATAATAACAATAAAGTTAGAATTTGTATATATTTGTGTGAAACTTGTTAATTTTGATAAAAACAAAATTTAAGTACTTTATTATAGATATTTTTAATGTTATTCTCCAATTAGAAATGGATACATAAATATATATTAATAAGATTAATATTATATATAAATATATAGATGCAGATTGGGCAGGTGATGCAAGTGATAGACGATCAAAATCAGGCTATTGTGTCTTCATGGGTTGTAATCTTGTCTCATGGAAGAGTAAAAAGCAAAGTGTTGTTGCACGATCAAGTACAGAAGCAGAATAGCGTACTATGGCTCACACCACGTGTGAGCTCTTGTGGCTAAAATTCTTAATTCAAGAGTTGCAGTTTTGCAAGGTTGGTCATATGGAACTAGTTTGTGATAACCAGTCAGCTTTATACCTCTCCTCTAATCCAGTTTTTCATGAGAGAACAAAGCATATAGAGGTTGACTGCCATTTCATCAGAGAAAAGATCCTCTCCGGTATCATCAAGACTTCCGCAGTTTGCTCCAAGGATCAACTTGCAGATATCTTTACTAAATCTTTACGAGGTCCTAGGATAACATATATATGTAACAAGCTAGATGCATATGATATATATGCTCCAGCTTGAGGGGGAGTGTTAAGATAATTCTATAAGATATAGTTTAGATATACTAGTTTATCCTCTCCTAATTTCTAATTTAGTTTCCTTAGTCAATTTTATCTAAATCCCTAAACTTTAGGGATTGATTATGTTTTATGCCTATTTTATTTTATTGTATCCATCAATTTAATAACATGAAATCATTCAGATTCAAGTCCATCTTTAAAAAGTAGGTTATAAGCTTAACTCAACCTTACCAAACCAACTTGTAAGGTGAGGATTACTCTCCACTTATATACACTATTATGACCTTATTTCTAGACAATGCAGGATTTCCAATACTAACCTTAAGCCCTATAGATACCCTCATTTTCAAAATAGGGAGATTGAGAAGTTGATTGCAAATATACTGAAGGGGAACTTATAAGGCCAAGCAATAGTCCTTACTCAAGCTCTATTTCATTGGTTAAGAAAAAATGATGGCAGCTGGAGGTTTTGTGTAGACTATAAGGCATTAAATGAGATAACCATCCTGAGCAAGTTCCCAAACCCTCGATGAATTGCTAGGTGAATTGGCCGAAGCAGTCATCTTTGCAAAGCTGGACTTGAAAATCAAGGTACCATCAAGTACAGATGAAAGACACATATACCAAAAACTACTTCATGGACACATGAAGGCAATTATAGTATTTGGTGATGCCTTTTGGCCTCAAAAATGCTTTGTCCACCTTCCAATTACTCATGAACAAGGTACTGAAACCTTTCTTAAGACAATATGAGGTACTTAAACCTTTCTCATTCATTGCCTATTCCAACACAGATATGGGTTGATGCATCATTGGGGGGGCTTCCAAAATCTTGAGGAAAGGACACCATTTTAGTGGTGGTGGACAGGATGTCCATATATGGACTTGGGTCATCCCTTCACAGCAAAAGAAACAGCAGATAACTTCATAAATGATCGTTAGACTGCACTGATCCCTTTCTTCAATTGTTTCTGACAGGGACAAGGTTTTGTCAAGAATTTTTGGCTTGTTGCCTGATCTCGATATATTATGTTCTATAAATATTACAAGATGATTTACAGCCCTTAATTTCTAATTAAGACTGATTCCTAAATTCATGATATAATTATTTGGAAAGAATAATAACTGCTGATATTATTTATAATATTCAGCCCATATAATAGAAAACAAAATAATGAAAGATTCCCTGTTTAACAGGTTTCTCTTAGTCAATTCTAGACTGAGTTATTCCAGAAAACAGGCACAAAGCTCAAATATAGCACAGCATTCTATCCACAAACTGACAACCAGACTGAGTTCACAAACAATTAACAAATGTGTTGAGGTATACCTTAGGTGTTTTGCAGGGGAGAAACCAAAGTCATGGTCTAAGTGGGTATGTTGCGTAGAACTTTGGTGCAACACTAATTTCAACATTTCTATTGACTTGACCCTATACCAGGAAGTCTCACTACTAAGAAAAGTGTCCTTTTTCCTACGAATTTTCTTACAAAAAAATATTTGCAGATTCTTTTTGCGAATTTTCTTGCAATAATAATTTTATAAAATAAAATTTGTAAATTTATTTGCGAAAAATAATTTACAGAATTTTCTTACAAATATTTTTATGAAAAATAATCCAAAATTTATTTTTGCAAATTTTGCAACAATTTTAATGATCATAGAAATTTTTTTCCATGGTAAAAATTTGCAAAAAATGTTGTAAGAATTTTATCTTGTTTCTTGCGAATTATTTTGTAAAAATAAATTCGCAAGTAATGTTTACTAAATGGCAGAAAATTTTCGCAAGTAACTTTTCTTGTCAATTTTCCTGCCAATTTTAATCTGTAGGAAAAATAAAAAATATATATATAAATTTATAAGTTTAAGAATTAAAAGATTTTTTTCAAGTCCCATATCGATTAGAAATAAAATAATTAAAGAATATATAAGTTGGGACAACACTCACCTTATAAGTTAATTTTGTATGATTGAGTGTTAGACCTATAATTTACATGTTTCGGATGAATTCATTATAAGCATTTGAAAGTTGAAGAATTATTAATAGAAATTGTACAAAAATTACCTCTGAATAGTAATTTTTTTGATTCAACCAATGTAGAGACATGTGTATATGTGTGGTAAGTCCCGCTTCTCAACAAGTGGTATCAAAGCCGATGGTCTGATCAGGTGACTAGCTCGATGAGTATGATGGGCGGCAGGTGGATCCAAGTTTGGGATCCCTTGTGTCGAATGTCTTCTTAACAGTGGGTCCATGTGGAAGATACGGTGGGTCCATGTGGAAGAGAGGCTTCCAGGCGTGTCCCGCAGTCATGAGAGAGGTCATGATGGAGCGGCAGTGCAAGCACTCTGAGCGTGAGTGAGCTCTGTGGGGCCACCATCGGATAATACTCGTAGTTTTCGCTGCAGGGGATGGGTTAAACCGTGGTCCTTTGTTTGAGGGGAGGATTGTTAGGATGCAAGCAAAGTCCCATATCGTTCAAACAAGAAGATGGACATGAGTTTATATACACATAATTGTCTTCATTGGTTGAGAGGCCTTTTGGATGATGTCCAAAAGCAAAACCATGAGGGCTTAGGCCCAAAGCGGACAATATCTCACCAACATGGAGATGTGTATATGTGTGGTAACCCCCGGTGCACAATAGTATCCACCACCTATAATTCTGATACCCAGTATTCCTTCATCAGTGGAAGATATCAATAAACAGTTTGAGTATACAGATACTGTATCAGCTCTGTCAGAATTTAGTGCTGGCTCTACAGAAAATGAAGTACCAAGATGACAAACACAGAAGAGATGTTCAGCTGGAGATTGGGGATTAGGTCTAGTTGAAGACCACATCCTACAGATGACACTCCTTAACCCGATGCAGGAATGAGAAGTTTAGTCCTTGTTTTTACAGACCCTTTTGTTGTTGTCGAGAAAGTAGGTGTTGTGACAATATGACTTATAAATTAGCGTTGCTCGAGGGTAGTAGAATCCATTCCTCAGCAAGTTGAAGAAAGCTGTGCCTGCTGCTTATCATCCACAGCCTCTTCCCAAGGCCCTCTCAGTAGAGTACGAGTTGCAGCCAGAACTTGATAAGCTGTGGTGACCTGAAGACTGAACAACATTCTTCTGTTAATACTCAACTTAATACTTGCCTTATTTAATTTTGTTTTTAAAATTGTTTGATACTTACCTTTAGCTGACCACACCTAATGGTAAAAGGCTTAGTTGTCATTGTTGGTTTTTAACACTTAGCTTTATCACATATCTCGCAATTTTTTTACTCATTTTTGCTGTCTTCCTTATTTGTCTTAAAGGTTATGGAACTTGAAGAAGTGATACTAGATGATGACAGTGAGGATGAAATTAATGAGGACGCTCAAGAGATTCAAGATCGAAGGGTATGCACAATTATATAAGTGGTCTTTGTTTTCATTTTCTACAATTACATTTTGTTTAATTGTAACTCTTATTGAACAACAAAACTCTGGTATACAGCTTTATAATAAATTAATAATCAGTGGCTGACAGGAGCTTAAACGTGATGTATATTACCTTTTTTTTTTTTTTTCAACTGTTAGTGCATTTTTAAAATGAATCATCCAACCAAGATTTAAATATGTTTATGGTCTTTATAATATACTGTTATTTTGATTTTGGTCTTTGTTATTTTATTTTATTTCTTATAATATACCAATTTTTTCATTTTAGTCCTTATAATATTTTGTTCATTTTGATTTATTCCCTTTGAAACAAAATTAGTAGGGACTAAAAACAAATTATTCAAATATTACAGGGACAAAAAGGAAAATATATTACAAGAACTAAAACAAAACATGGACCAAAATAAAAAAAGAGAACTCTTACAATTACAAGGACCATTTAAAAAAAATTATGAGGATCAAAACCAAAAATAAAGTATTACAGGACCAAAAGTATGTTTAAACCTACAACAAAAATTCACTAAGGGTCACCTGGTACATGGGCATAGAGTCTCCTTATTACTTACACTCTTCTTAACAGAAAAGTCATTTGAATTCTACAACATGTACACCGTAATTGGTTGGTTTTAACCAAGTTTGGACTTTATTCTGAGAGCTTACTATTTTTGGTTCCAAGTTTACAACTTGAAAATTAATATCTCCTCGATTAATTGAATAGAATTTCAACAAAGGCTTAGATTGAGACTGGGGTTGGATTCCAATGTCTGTTGCACTTTTACTGCTTTTCACCCTTTTGTTATGTTGTGAGGAAACATTGACACACATTGATACCTTGCAGAAAGTATCTCTTCTTGATGCGACCAACGATGAGAAGCAGTTCATACCTATGTGGAATGCATTTGTTAAGAAACATAGGTAATTTCTTCTAATTTAGGCTCTAGTCATTCACTTCTTGTTGGATCTTCCTTGTTTGGTTTATTGCCACCAATAATCATTAACAAGTAAAATGTATATATTTTATGTTGAATGCTCCTTTGAGATTTGGAAACTTGTTCATTTACTTTGTGGTTTCAATTTTCTTCTTGTGGCAGGGTGCTGGCAGAGGGTCACATTAATTGGGCATTTGAAGCTTTCACAAAATATCATTGCGCTGATATTGCTCAGTCCCCCGCATTAACCTGGTAACCAGCATCTTTTTTGTATCAATGTGTTTCTGTTTGAGAAACTTTGTTCCTAACTTGGTTGTTTTCATCATTGTGTGATGGCCTTTTTTATGTATCAATAATCTTTTTAACCTTAATTGAGGCGAGTCTTGGTGTAACAATAAGGTCCTAATCCTAAGCTTACATCCTGAAAATAGTTTCTCTGTTTGTGGTGATTTCTTCTTACAACTACATTTCTTAAATCCCTCAAGGGAGCCTTGGGCACTAAGTTTTCCAGTATATTGATTCTAACCTTAACAAACATAATCATGACAAAATGTACAGTCTTCAAAACAATTTCTGTCATAATAGTTTGATTGTCATTGTGCAATATATTATGATATGCAAATAATTATGAAATTAATAATTTTGGCAGGCGTTGGAAAGCGTTTATGATCAAACTATCGAATCATGGTCTTCTAAAGGCACGGACCCTTATTACATGCAATATTCTTCTTGAACAATACCGCAAGCTGAATTCAGATATATCCCAACAGCTAAAGAAATTTCAGTTTTAATCCCTTCAAATCAAAAGAAAAATATGAGACAGAAAAAGACTTCTTGCTGCTACCGTTTTGCGGAAACTTCTTAGTTTTAATTGCAGTCTTTGTTGTACTGTTATTAAGTACCTCCGGTTGTTCCTTAAGGGGATAAAAGTTTCATCCCTTGGTCTCTTTTTCAGCGGCATGGAGCTGAAGAAATTCTTAAGCTACCTGAGTATTTTTTTAATTTTTTATTTCTTAGATATCAAAATTAAATGGGAACTGGATTGCCAAGCTCATGATAAATTTTTTACAATTTAATGAACTTATGTTTGCAGTAGTTTTTTTTGGCTATTGAATATAACTTTTTCGTGATTTAGATTGTGTAGTTACAATTAAGTTAATGGTATTTTATCTGCAGGGTAATTATACGAAATAGATAAATTGTAGCATGTGAAATATATTAATATTTTGGACGGCAAAAAGTAATTACTGAGAGAGGATTAACTTAAATCAATATTGTATGCGCTAGTAGTGTTGTGTGCATTAGCCATTGGCAACTTCATGATATTTTTCTCAATTTTTCTCTGTCAACGATAAAGTTTTCTATAAACATTTATAGGAGAAAAACATAAAACGAAAAAAAAAAGGTAATGTCCTAGTCATGAACCAACAATTCAAAATACTTGAATCATTAGATAAAGATATATAATCTATATTATAATATAATAAACTTGTCTAAGTCGGGTTGAATGGCCAAGGAATTTGAAATCTTACATTTCATGCAGCATGATCCACGTGCTCATTCTATCGTCCATCCTCTAGTGGTTCCAAAATCTGGTTATGTAAATTATAGAACCTAGAAATTGTGCTGCTACCACTAGTACCGTCACCATGATCAACAATGTTAATGGGCGAACGTGGTTTGAGAAAGTACTCTCTCTCTTCTTCAGATATAACATCATTTGTTCCTCCTAAAGAATGCTTTTCCATGACCCTTATTCCCTCCAACTCCATTGCCACTTCTTTCATGCTTGGTCTTTCTTCTCCCTTTAGCCTAAGACACCTCTTGGCAAGATTAGCCACTTCTATTATATACCCAACACTTGCATCACTCACAATTTCATTGTCCAATATTTGATCCAAGCGACCCTCATTCATTGTAGAAACAAAATACATAGACAAGTTTCTATAGATCTCAGGCCTAATAAATGAAAGTGCCTTCTTACTTGTCAATAGTTCTGCAAGGACAACACCAAAGCTATACACATCACTCTTATCAGTTAGTTGACTTGTTTGGAAGTACTCCGGGTCAAGGTAACCCAATGTTCCTTGCACCAAAGTGGTTAACTGAGTTTTATCAAGAGGAACAAACTTTGAAGCCCCAAAGTCAGAAACCTTGGCTGTGAGATTCTCATCAAGAAGAATATTTGCAGTTTTAACATCTCTATGTATGATTGGTGTAGAAGCAGCTGAATGCAAGTATGCAAGAGCTTCTGCTGTCTCTGCTGCAATTCTCAAACGTGTTGTCCATGAAAGTTTGTGATTATTACTGTTACATGCTTGACCCTCAAAATGTAGATGCTCACAAAGGGTACCATTAGTGATGAACTCATAAACAAGTAAGGGAAATTCTGTCTCTAAACAACAACCTAGTAGTCTGACAACATTCCTGTGGTTGATTTGGGTAAGCACAACCACTTCGTTGATGAATTGCTCAATCTCACTTTGGTTAGAAACCATGGACTTCTTGATGGCAACAACCCTGCCATTTGATAATGTACCTTTGTACACTGTTCCATGGCCTCCTTTGCCTATGATTCTATCCTCATCATAGTTGTTGGTGGCTTTCTTGAGCTCCTCAACAGTGAAGATTGTGGCTCTTTCAGTTGAGCCATGGTGTGAATCAATCTGTTCTTGCAGTAACATACCACCATTTTTTTGAAAATAGTTTTCTCTCATTTTGATGAGCTTTCTTTCACGGATTTGGGGGTATATGTTTAGGCATCCCACAACCACTGCCAATAGACTTAAGCTCAAACCTGTAAACAAGAGTTGCAACATTTCTTTTCAGGAATTTGACTTCCCACAAGGTCAATCCATTATTTGGAAATGATTAAAGAAAAAATGGTTCATACATTGATAATGTAAATGATTTTTACACTGTTATCTTATCACAAATTAATATGTATGACAAGTTTGTTGATTTCTATAATAATTATCTTAAAAATCATGCTTACCATGATTTCTTAATGGTTGATGGTAGTGCTACATTACTCATGACTAAAGGTGAAAAGTATGCATTTATTTAAGAGCTCAATCCTCTGTATTGAAATACGTAGTTTCCAGTATACAAAATGAAGAATTTTAAACGATTGCAAGTATAGAGTCAATTAGACTTGCATACATACGAGTTAATTTTTATCTACTATATATGCCTAAAGTAGTTTGGATATCATCATCAGATGTATTATATTATTGAAACAATTTGACTATTAATGAAAAAGTTATATGATTTCAATCTTATATTATATACATCCTCGCATGCAATGAACTTATATAGAGAATCACAGAATAGATAAATTTACTTAAAATACTTATCATAACAAGAGTTATTTTTTCAATATTATTTGTAATATACTAATATTTTAACAGGAACTAGGAAGAAACATATCGTGTACATATATACTTACTCAGTCCAATTATAAGTATTAGATTCCCTATGGGTTTGTCATTTTTGGGTCGGCAGCCTTCGCCATTTGTCAATCCATCTCCTTCGTGTCCCTTTGGACATGAGCACTTGAAACTGCCATCAAGGTTTTGGCATCTTTTTCTGATGATGCATGGATTAGTGTTCGTAGCACATTCATCGATATCTGACTCAAACAAAATACACCAACTTTTAATTTATAATCTGTTTGGATATAAGTTTAGAAACGTTTTTTAAAATTTTCTTTACTAAAATGTACTTTATTTTTTATAAGAAAGTCTTCAAAAGCACTTCTAACTTATATATAAAGGACTCCTAGTTTTACTAATTTGTAACAGGAAAGAAAAAGAAAAACAAATAATATCAAGAAAAAATATTAAATATACCTTGGCAGCCATCACGAATGTAAGGGTTTCCCTCGAAACCATGACGACATTTGCAACGATAACCAATTGATGAATCGAGGCAAACACTGTTCTTGCCCTTGCATGCATAGCTACTAAGATCTTGTGCCTCTTGGCACGTGTGATTTTCCACAGCCCAATCAAGCACCATGGGCAACCTCTTATTCTCGAGATTCTTAAGATTTGTTGTCTCAAATTTGTAATACCCTTCCTCAACTATGAACGCATAGTTGCATGGATTGAATTCACGTACCGTGGAGTGGTTATCCATACTCCAACTTTGCATTGCAAAACCATATAATCCATTGGGAACACTAATTTGGCAACAACCAATGCCACCACATGATCCAATATTACTTGTGATGTCATCTAGTGTGCCACATGTGGATACACATCCCGTGGTTGTAACATGTTTCTTGTTGCTATCATAACCCATGAATATTCCCACCGTTTCACACCCAAGTGTGGTGAATTTGTTCTTACTAGGTGAGATTGAAAAATGGGTCAAATTGAAACCATTTTCCTCCTTAGAATAATTGCCATAGCAATCATGGATTACGGGGCTTGAAACTAGAATTTCTCCTTCATTTAGTGATATGTTGAGCACCACTATGTTGTCACTTCCCAATAAAGGGGTGGGTGTGGTGGAGTTGCTATGGTTGCATGTGATGAGGAAAGTGTGGTTCAAGTAACAACCCTCACGTGTCCCAAAAGGGTAGGGAATGTTGAGATTTCCACAGCTTTGGGGGCAATTTGAAGTGGGTTGAGATGATGCTTTTGCTGCTGCTATTAGGATCACAAAATATAGTTTATGGAGCTTTAGATTTTTGTGCACAGCCATGGCTTCACCGAAGATTATCTCTTGTTGAGGTTATGATGGGTCCTTTTTTTTGCTATCAATACTATACTAAGTGTATTCTCGGGCTGAAATCAATCCTGTCCAAGTTAAATAGAATTACTATAGATGATAAAATTGCATACTTAAAACTTAAATTCGATATTATCGGTTAACTTACATAATCATGTTTTAATTTGACCCTATATGAATTTCAATATTGTTGAATATTCTCTAATGAAAATGACCACAGTTGGACTAGTCTTCGCGTGGTGCAGTAAACTTATCCAAATATCTACATTATTGTTTTATTTTATTTTATTAATTACTTATTTATTTCTCTATAATTTCATAATAAAATTATCATTTTATCAAGTCTGTATAGTTTTAATTAAGAGTACCATATTGTTCCCATATTTTAAATAAAAGTTTAATTTTTGCACAGCCACGGTAAAAGAAATTGAAAATCACATTAGGGATAACTTAAGATAGTTATTTACAAAATATTAACAAAATTTAACAAAGTGTCGGCAAACTTAAAAAGAATTTGACAAAGTTATGTTTAAACATGATTAACCTTGTTGGTATATATAAAAATGGAAAAAAGAAATCAATTTTTTTTGGAGGATAAATATAATAGTGGAAGAAACAGAGGAGAAAAGACAGAAGCATGTTGTTGTTTGAATTTAGAAAAGAAGGGAATTATGATGGTTTACCAGAAGTTAATGAAGGAGAACAGTGAGGTTGGTTCCCTTTCCCTGCTTTCTCTGCAAGTGTGTGTATGCAAAGCACAATGTTAAGTTGTTAAGTAAAAGATGTGAGTCTTAAATAAGAGCACTATGCAATGCAACATCACATGACCCATGCCATTTCACCATCATCCACCCTATGAATCAAGACTTTTCTTCAGTATCACACTTGTCATATTTTCTTTCAAAAATTCCACTTTTTTTTTTTAAATCCCATGAGAAAATTGTGGACAAAAGTTAAGGATATTATTTAAGAAAATTAATAGAACTCGTTGTCATATATTTTATAATTTAAAGTTAATATATGCCTTAAAGTGTGTATTTTCAAGTTTATTAACAATCAATAAACTTTGGTAGATATTTGTTTTTAAAAAAATAATAAAATAGCTACAGGAAAATTAAAAATAAAAATGTTATAAATATTATTGCATGTAAAAAATATTTTAAAAAAAAAGATAATTACAGAGTAAAATTAAATAGAAAAATGAAGTCGTATTTAAAATTAATTAATTAATTAATTAATCACAATTTTAGCAGAAGGATTTTCATGTTAGATGATAAATCCTACATGTTGTAAAATTTGAATTAATAATAATAAATAAAAATTGGTCTAGCTGCCTAATCTTAGTGGTGAGCTTGAGTCCTTATCTTCTACTACATTTTGTTTTATAAAGTAAACATCAAATTCAATTTGTTATGTGCAGTATTTAATTTTGATAATGAAGGGAATTGAAATACCACACAAAATACTACATTTGTCTAAACTGGTCGAAAGAGACAACTTCAATGCAGAACCGGTAAAGGCAGAAATTATAAGTTTTTTTATTATATAAATATTAGTTCCTCTTATATTATAAGATATTTATTTTAGTCTTTGTTAAGAAATATTAGGTTTGTTTTTTAGTAAACAATTATCGCATCACCAATGAATAGTAATAGAATAACATTATAAAATAATTTTTTTTATGGAGATACAAACCATTTCTTATAAGAACTAAAATCATTAAATTAACAAATATATTACTAGAATAATATAAATAATTTAAAGTTTTTATTTAACAATTATGTATAATAAATTTATTAATTTTTATAATAATAATTTTAAAATTAGATGACTTTTAATTTACTACTATATAATTACTATAATCAATATAATTATGAGAGGTTAAAGTAATTTGTACATAGTTTTATATTTGAATGTTATATCATATTTATAATTTCTAGGATAAAAAATAAAATTGACTACATAAACATTAGATAGGTAAACTAATAATTATAACTTAATTAATGTCCAATAAATAATAATTATTTATTAAGATATGTAAGAAAATAAATAAAATAAAGTACTTATAATATAAAAATCTAAATTTCATCAAGATAGTCTTTTAACCACTTTAGTTTGATGCCGTCATTTAATCACTTTAATGTTTGGATATACATTTGATTATTTTAAGTTAATTAATTATTTTAAATTTGCTTAAGTTTTGAATATATAAATATAACTGTATCCAGTTCGAACATAATTTTCACTAATAAAATATATATACACAGTCTATTAAAAAAGCATATTTAGGTACCCTAACTTTTAAAATTTTCTTTTATTTTTTTCTCTTCACTTTTCTTACACTTCTTCTTTATTACCAAATAAAGGCTTAATTCCTCTCGAATCTTGATAATTAAAGTCATAATTTGGTGGAATTTTAATAAGTTGGTAGAAAAAAAAAATACTAATACATAAATCACAATATTTAGATTTTATAAAAGAAAATGATAAGCTGGATTGCGCATAAATATATATAGCTACAAACTAAAACATTTTTCTCACATTTCATGAAGATTAATTCCTGATAATCTTATCAATGTATAAAATGTTCAAGAGTACCAAAAAAGAAAATCTTACCTTTCTTTGAACAAACCTTAAGAAATAATTCAAGCAAATAAAGAATATTACAGCGATAATTTCAATAGAGGTTAAGGTAAACTACCTTTGGCCTTTCCACATATATTTTTTTTCTCATTATAAATTGGAATAATAATCATCCACTAAAAGTTCTTCTGATTTATTGAATCTTTTTCAGCACCAAATTCTTTGGTGGATATTTCCTCTGAGCTCACAATAGGTAAGAAACCCATTTGAGTGCCGTCGCTATCATTTTCAATTTCTCCTTCGAGACTTAATCCTTCGATTCTTGCTCCAATAGGATCTCCTATGATTCCCACATCTATTGAGAATTAAACTAATTAGTCAAATAATTCAAAGACAAAAATAAAGTACACCATATTTGATTTTCTTAAATATAACCAAATAAACAATGATGAAAAATATAATCCGGAGACAAATTTTTTATAAATATTATGACAACTAATATCTAAATTTATGTAGTTACAAATTTAATATTTCATTTTTGTTTTAATTAAATTAATACACACATATTTGTTAAGGAATATAATAAAAAAGTAAAACACTCTACCTCAAAACGTTCTACATGTAACATATTAGATTTGTAGTTCATTCAATTATATATTACTTAACGGTCTATTTCTTTCTAATATTTTAATATCAACTAAATAAATGAATATAAGTGATTAATTATTGAATTCAAGGTCAAATTATTTAAGTAATATCTGAATTTAATTTTTATGAAAATAATCATTAACTAAACTTTACTATTTTTTGATCGAATTAAATTAATTTAAGATAAAATTTTATGACATGAATGTGAAATAAAAAAATGTTTAAATACCTTTTAAACTATATTTGAAAAAAAAAACACATACACCTTATTTAGTTTAGATGATAAAAATCAAATTATACTAAAAATTTGAAACTCATCTCATCTCATGCATCAATGATTCACGAGTTAAGGGAACTTGAAACCATAACTTTTACTCAAAATTTTAAAATATTAGGTTTGTAAATTATTTTCATTTATATACTACTCAAATCATCTATTTCCATCCGATATAAAAGTTCTTCACTCCCACTCCAACATTCTCCGACATTAATCTCTGTACATCTCTTACACACTATTAATTTGATCAAAAAACATGTAGAGGCGCCCACTTTTTGCATGGGAAGAGGAAAAGTTGGTTGAGTTGGCTAATAGGTTGGCCTCGGTAGTTTTGACAGAGGCTCACCCAGATGAATGGCGTTGGTTAGCCGAAAGGTCAGGGAAATATTCGGTGGCATCTACTTATAAGATTTTAGCAAAGTCAAACCTTGTTCAAGTGGACACTTTTTATGATACGATATGGGCCAAAGGTATCCCTCCTAAGGTTCAAGTTTTAGTGTGGCAGTTGGAAGCGGACAGGTTACCTACCCGGGATAACCTCCTTTTGAAAGGGGTTACTCTAGAAGGACAAAATGGTTGTGTTTTTTGCGAAGAAGGCTTGGAGTCCAGCAAGCATTTGTTCCTCTTGTGTCCAAAGGCTTATGCTGTTTGGGTCAGATTATACGCTTGGTGGGGAGTGTCAGGGGTGTTTATCAACGAACTTAGGAGTTTTTGTCATCAATATATGGGATTGGTGTGTGGCAGTAAGGGTATTAGGCGAGTTTGGTCATTTGTTTGGTTTGCAGGTATATGGCAGTTATGGAAGGCTCGAAATGAAAACATTTTTAAAGACAAACTCTTTAAGGTGGAAGAGATCGTGTTCATGGCACAGTTGAGATCGTGGGAGTGGTGTACGGCTGTTAGAATGGTGTCTTCTTCTTTTCTAGAATGGTTGATGAACCCATTGTCCTGTGCAAGTGTCCCTTAAATTTGTTTTTTCTTATTTTTGGGTCATCTTGTTTATAATTATGACTTGCACTTCTTGTGCACAATTTTCTTGGAATTAATAAATTCTTGGCTTATAAAAAAAAACATATCAAAATTGAAATCATATCAATCAAGAACTATATAACTGAAAAATAGAGATATATATGTTTCAAGAAATAAATTTGTGTTTTTAATGCGTGTTGTTTTGTATTTTGAAAAATTTAGCAACATATTCTTATGAAGACACTTTCTTTCAATTGTCGGATTTTATTAAAAATCATATAATTATGTAATCTCACATTTGCTCCCTCTAAATTTATATAAATTTCAAAATTTTTAGCAAATTATATGTAAATATCAATTAAGTCAATTTTATTTAATATTTTCAATTCAAAAATATCCCAGTATAATAAATGAGAACACTATATATTATAAATATGATTAAGAATATTTAAAGAATATTGTAGTATATATTTTATGTAAAATTATGAAAATTAAATGTATTTAATAATTTTTCTTAATTTATGTATGTTAAATGTTTTTTATCATGCATGGTTTTCAATAAAGTTGAAAGAAAAATAAGAAAGAATTGTATATATGATTCACCTGGATTTGAGAAGAGCCAAAGAATGATGGCACAAATAATTAGCACAAAAGGGATAACATGCACTGCATTCTCAGCAAACTTGACACGTGCCCTCTCCTTCTTGGCCAACTCTGCAATGGGGTCATATGTTGGTAAATTGTTTCCATCGAACATAGAATAAGATGATCTATGTCCTGTTGCTGGAGAAGAACTTGTTGCATGCTTGAAGTAGTCATCAGAGAACCTGTTCCAGCTTGCAGACCTGTGCATCCTAATTACTTTCTTCACAATTTTTTTTATTTTATTTTAACCAATTTCGATTAACAACTTGGAGGAACACAAAAGGCTAGCTAGGGTCATAAATTCTTCTGATTAAAAAATAATATAAAAAATAACTAATTAGAAAAGTCTCTACGAGAATGAAGCCACTTTCAATGAGTTCGGCAATGTTTACCGATTCAATCACCATATTTATTGCGTCTTCCCAACAAACTAAATGTGAATTTGTCAAAATTAATAGTTATAAGAATAATTGGACTCCTCTAGCTTCAAATTTGTTCAAATGACAATGCACTCTAATTAATTAAATTTCTTCTTTGAATTACAACCCCACATAGTTGTTTCATGTTACATTGAATAATGATAATTACGTTCTTTTTACTAATGTATTTCATATTAATATGAAGTATTAATTGTCAAAAAGAGTCTCTAACTTTTATTAATGATTTCAAGCATGACTATTCTTCCTTAAATATAATTTATTACGTATATTAAAGGTCATGATATATATATATATATATATATATATATATATATATATATATTTAACACAGTTAACTATGTACTTTAAAAAAGAAAAGGAAAAATATTTATCTATCATTAATTAATAGTGACTTCTTAAAAAAAATATTTAGAAACAACACTTTAGTACAATAGACCCGGAATGAGATCAATAAAAGTGCAACTCAATGTAAAGGCAATATATTTCATTACACGTGCTTTATCCAATCTTGAGTACAATAAAGTCTTCGGGTGTAAAATAAACAATTATGTTAAAATTAACTAATTAATATAAATAATGTTAAAATTAGTGTGTATATATATATATACTATTCGTTACCAAAAAAATTGTAAAAAAAAAATTAATAAAAAAATATGGAAATAATTTTGAAAAATAATAAGTAATCGAATAAACAATTAACCTAAATGATTTAACAATTTAATTTAATTTTTATTCTATCGAAATCAAACTTGGTTCCAAGAAAATTATAACAATTCATGCACTATACTCAATTAGGTGTGCTAGACCCCATTAATTGGTATTAATTTAAATTCAATAAATTAATTAATTAACTATAATAAAACATGCTAAACTAATATAATTATATCTAGTTTACTATTTATTATAAAAAAAAATGAATAAAATAATATTTTAAGAATTAAATGAAACCGTTTAATTGATGGATTAAAGATATATGAGTAAATTGTACTTTTCTTCTTGTGTTTTATAGTTTTATAAATTTTATCATCTAATTTTATAAATTACATATTTTGTCATTAATTTTTTAAAATTTCACAAATTTTGTAATTTATTTATTTGACAGGTTAATATTATTACTTGATGATTGACATGATATTAACTATTAATATTACATGTTAATTATTAATATGATATATTGATTGTTAATGACATAATTTATCACATCATTCATGTCATATCAACACGACATATTAGTAACCAACATAATATATTAATAATCAACACATCATATTAACGGTCAACTAGTGATACTAAATGTTTATCAAATGAAACGATAAAATGTTCAAAATTTTGAGAATTAAGTGTCAAAAAATGTATTTTAAAAAATTATTAGATAAATATTGTAAAATATGAGTGACAAAAATGATAATTAAACCTAAAAAATTAAATAATTATCATAAAAATATATATCAACCTATTATAAATTGTAAGATTAATGTATATTAATTGTTTAGATTTGATGCAAGTCATTATACTTACATCCAATAAGATTATTGTGTAAGGGTAATTTGAGATGATCATGTGAGATTATTTTTTCATGATGAAAAAAGTGTGTGAAACTCATAAAGAGAGAGAGAAAACAAAACGTTGAAAATCTTTAATTAAGAAATTAAGTGAAGAGAGTGGAGGCTTCGTTGTCGGTTTTGACATGTAGTGTATAAATAAATTTCTTTATAATAATTTGAGTTTGAGTTTTTATTTCTTTTAATCTTATTGGAAAACAAAGACATTATGTCTATATATGATTTATCAAATGTCAACTACATGTATTTAACACAAAAATATATAATAAAATAACAATCAAAAGAATAATACTTTATAGTTACATGTTGCATTTCAAAATTAGGTATAACTTTCAATTTTATTTATAAAAACAACAAATTATTATAAAAAAAATTATCACATAATTATTTTTATTTTTGATTTTTTTCCCTTCTTAATCATGGACCTAGAATCAATGGTTTTCTTGTATTGGCCCAATGTTGGCCCTAGTTGTATTGATTTCAAAGTTCTATATATTAGATTTTTCATTTTCACTTTTATTATATACCTTATTAATGAGCCGCTTTCTACAATCCTAATTTTTACATCTTGTTGCGCCGCTTACAAACCCTAGTTTTTTTTTTTGTTTTTTTTTACATCTAGTTGTATCACTTACAAACCCCAATTCTTCATATCTGCACAAAATTGATCCAAATCCATTCTTAATTGTTGGGAAGATTATTGATTATCGAATCATTTCGGGTAATTTTTAATATTTTTAGTAAGAATTGCTTTTTATTGTTTAGATCTATGTATCTCCATTATGGGCAAATATGAATTTCATATGTTTGATATAGAAAAATATGAAACCATAATTATATTTAAAGATTTTATTCAATAGAGATAAATATTCTATGAAAATCAAATTATTTGATTTGATCAATAAGAATATCAATGAATTGATTAGGTCATCAATTTAATAAGAAAATCAATAATCAATTAGGTCACTAGTTTAAGTTTGTATTTCAAAAATCAAAACAAATCGACCAATTATATAGAAAAATCAATAAACTAATCACTTGATCAATTTAAACTAGTGTCACCAAAATCAGATTAATGATTGACTCAAGATATTGAGTCGGTAATCACCCGTTGAACTAGTGAGTCGCTAGATAAACCACATAAACCAATACGTTGTGAAACATATAATTTTATATCAAATATATAATATTAAATTTTACTTTTAAAAGGGTTCATTTGTGTAGTGATTGAGTTTCTATTAAAGACCAAAGGACCTGGGTTCTATTCCTATTAGGTGGAAAACTCTCCTCTTTATTTTGTTAATTTCTTGGTCAATGAGCAAGTCAAGCAAGCATGGATGCGTGGAGGGACTCTGTGGCAGGGACACAATGAGCGTGGGATGTAGTGTGCAAAGAACAGAGTGATAGTGCAGTCAGTGAAAACACAATTTTCAACCAAACTGGACGAGCCACGGCTCAACCTCGAGCTTAGCACATGATGTCATTTCAGGTCAAGTATGTATGGCCAGATCGGTTCTAAGTTCTGTTCTTGGTTCAACTTGGACCAAACAGTCCCGTTAAAAGAAATTGAATCACATATAGGATAAATGATTTTTAAAAAAAAAAAAGACATTATTTTCGTTTCTTAAAAAAATATAACATCAACCTAAAATATTTGTTATTTTCTATATTGTTCTAAATAAAAATTGTTATAATTAATAATTGTTGATGTGTATTGTTGAAACTTAGACTTCACTATTATAATATATATGTTTTAAGTTTTGTATATATTTTAAATGTTAAGAAGACATAAAATTATTATTTTTAATTAGTTTTAGTTTTTAATATTATAAAAATATTATTTATGTTTCTTTAAAATAATAATAATACTTTACTACTACTTTAGTCACGGTTATTAATACTTCACTATTATTATTATTATTATTATTATATATTATTATTATATTAATACTACTTTAATCAATTCATTGATTAGTCTAGATTTTTTTTTTTTTATATTATGATATTGATATAAATATCTATCGGTTTCGTCAAAAATTAGTTGAAACATTGATTATATTGAAACTATCTTAAGGGTTTTTTTATTTATTAAACTTAAGAGTCAAACTTAAGACTTTGAAATTTGATAATCAACTGCAATATCAATCGGATCAATGAATATTATTTTATCAATCTAAATTTAAAAATATCATCGGATGAATAAAAGGTTAAAAATGTGCTAAACCCAATAAAAAGGTGACAAAAATAGTTTTTTATTTTTATTTTATTTTTTCATAAATATTTTTAGAAAAATAAATTTCCCAATATAAAGTTTATGCTTATTTTGTTATTAATATTTTTCATCCAATAGGAAGTGAAAATTTGTCTAGAACCAGAAAAACTATATAAGAACATGAGACAAAATTGGTTTTTGAAAAAGTTTTAAAAATATCTATTATTTTAATTTTATTTTTATATCAATATATTAAGTTAAAAATTTATTTAACTATTTTTCTTAAAAATTTATGCTACTTTATTATTTAAAAGATTATTATTATTTTTTTATATTTGACTCCTTTTAGTCACAATTGATGAGTATTAATGTAGGAATTAATGAATTATAAGCACAGGAGAGAATAAAAGGGAGTAGTGGGCTTTGGATTGTCGTAGTCGTCGAGGTCATATTAAGGGAGAAGGGAGATAGAAAGACGAGGAAAGAGAGAATTTTTTTGTTGTACAACCAAATAACCAATGCTTTTAAAATTGGAATAATCATTAAACTAATAAAGATATTAATTCAACATTCAATATAGTTTGATCATAGTTAGATTAATATTAATAGAATAATAATGATAATTAAATAATATTAAATAAATATAATATCATAATTTTATAATACTAAAAATTAAAATAAAACATCACTTTATAAAACTTTTAACATTCAAAATATACCTAAAAAACATGACAATATTAATTAATAATAACAAATTTACATCTAGAGTAAAAAAAGTCTAATATAAAATAAAATTGAAGTTATAAAAAATTGTAAATTACTATGATTAACTAAATTATATCTTTATAAGAAAATTATTAAAAATAATGGATAAAATAATTTAATTCAGTTTGTAATCCTTATTATATTTTTTATTTAGTATACAAATATTTAAGTAATTTATTTTTAAAAAATTGTTGAATGGTATCAACTCAAACTGATTTTCTACATCGTTTTTCACCATTTTTTTGACCACTTCACACCAATTATAAAATACACTGATTTTTGTAGAGTTAATGGATTGGTCAAATGGTCAATCCGATATTTTTAAAACT